ATCCGTCCTTTCTGTCCCAGGACACACCGCTGCCACCTGGTGGCGAGGCGCCGCGGGGTAACTCACTTGGGTCCCACCGGACCTCAGCGTATCGTTGGGCCGAACCCAGCCACACTCAGTGCTTGCTCCTCGTGAAGTGTTCTCTTTAAGCGTCACAGGACTGACAAGGAGCGGGTACCCCACTTCTGATGGCTGCCCCAAAGGCTGGAGCTTCCCGGTGGCTTTGCCTTGTCTCCCAGTGGGTTCACGGTGGAACCCACCCGTCCCGGGAAGAAAAGGCAGGCGCGCTTCACGGACGGCACCTGTCGAGGACGGCAGGAGCACGCCTTTCGGGCTTTACCAACATGAAGGGCATGCGATCTGCTCCCAGGCGTATCCTGTCTTCAGGAGCGGAGTTTGGTCCCCAGGAGGTGGACACGGTCTCCTCAGACTCCTCCCTCTAGGTGTCCCTACATTCAGTCCGCCCCGGGGCTCAGGACAGCAGAGCACTCAGGCCCAGCCCTCGGCCCCAGGCCGGTCAGCCAGGTGCAGTGATTGCTCGCAGGCCTTGGGCCCTCGGCCAGCCCAGGGCGGGCAGAGGAATGTGTAGTTGGGGAGAAAGCGGGTGACACCGCCCCAGTGCTGCTGCAACCCTTCCCTAACACTCCACGCCCCAAGTCCAGGCCCCCCACCCCCCAGGTTCTCTCCCCCACACCCTTTAGCATCTCATTCTTCCTCCACACCCTGTGCCTCTGGGCAGCCGCACCTGCTGCGGGGGCACTGAGCAGGCCTCCTTTGCTCACTCAGGAGAGCCTGCTTCTCACTAGACTTCGTTTTATATTATTTGCTGCTAATACCAACATGAAATTTTAAAATCTAATGATAAAGTTGATGTTTGTTCAAAAGGCTCCAAGATTTCATCTACATAAAGTGTCCACGGCAGATACGTCTGTAGAGATAGAAAGCAGGTCAGCTGTTGCAGGCCTGTGGGAGGTGGGGATGGGTGCAAGGCTTCTTTTGAGGGCGATGGAACATTCCAGAGCCACATAGCGGAGGAGGTTGCACAGCCTTGGGGATATACTAGCAGCCACTGGATTATGGACTTTGAAATGGCGAGTTTTATGGTATATGAATTATGTCATTAAAATATTTGATGCTTGTTCATTGCAGAGATGTTTAAGAATAAAGTAAGAGAAAGGGTTTAAATCACCTCTATAATTTTCCAGATAACTAATAGTGGTGTTTGATGATGTGGCAGTTTTTGCTGTTGTCTTGTGTTTATTTTGCCTTTGGGTTTTGTTCCTATCCTTTCTGCTCGGGCCAGGAGCAGCTGGGATCTGCGGGGCCCTGGCCTCCCTTGTCCCCCAGGCCCACCGGACGTTCTGCTCCCAGCTTTCAGGAGGCGCATGTCTTTTTTAAAATTATTATTATTAATATATTTTTATTGATTTCAGAGAGGAAGGGAGAGGGAGAGAGAGATAGAAACATCAATGATGAGAGAGAATCATTGATTGGCTGCCTCTTGCATGGCCCACACTGGGAATCGAGCCCGCAACCCAGGCATGTGCTCTGACCAGGAATTGAACTATGACCTCCTGGTTCATAGGTCGACGCTCTACCACTGAGCCACGCTGGCCGGGCAGGAGCCGCATGTCTTGAATGAGGGCAACCATTTTGTGTCTAAATTTTATAGAGTAAGAGAATGACACTTAAATTTCAGAATATAAGTGGTGTCCTCATTTCTCAGTTAGGAGCAAGAGCAGGGCCTGGTTTTGTGGAAACGTCCCTGGGATGGGACATCCTGAATTTATTCACATGCTTGACGTGCAGAGGAAGTGCCCTGGGCCTCGTCCTTACGCTTGCACACCTAGGTCCCAACTTGGGGGATGGGGGCACGGGCTCTGGAATCAGCCTCGTGGGCTATTTGAAACTTCATCTGCTTTTGCAAGAATATAGAGGACATCGTTTTACTCAGATACCCACCCCATTCTACCCAGGATAATGCTCGGGGCTCAAAGAAACAAAAAATCCAACATCTGTATGAGTAGCAAACCTATTCAAAGAGAATCTTCACATTCCTGATGCCATGGGTGACTGCACGCCCGGGCGGGGGTGGGGTGACACCTGGCTGCTCGCACAGTGTTGGGGGCCAGATGTGAGCTGGCAAGGTCCTTGCACCTGAAGGGGCTAGCAAGGCTGGGACCCTTACCCACACAGTTTTCCCAGACTTGTTTGGATGGCGATTATCAGTAGAATGAGAACAGCCTTTCATGGCTTACCAAGAAGTCTGTAACTATTTACTGAGATATGCTGTACCGAGAACTTGTCCTTCTGCTGTGTCCCTCCCTTAGAGATTAAGAGGAACAAAGAATACATTCCTCTTGACAGACCTCCTATTCAGTGTGTTGTGTATAAATAGGATTGTGTGGCTAATAAACTTGCTTCAGTTCTTCGAGAGCTGGAGTCCTCCCGACCCCGCTTTCCTGTCTTTCTTTCTTTTCTCAATTCCCACCTCCCTGCCTCAGCCCGGCTCAACCTGTCAGGCTGGCCCCGACAGCATGGGAGTGTGGTTGTCCCGCCCCAACTCCGTGCGTGAGGAATACGTACGCTTCCAACCGCACGCTGCCCGGGAGGCCGGGGATCTTTCCACGTGGAATTGGCTAATGGTGCTTATTTTTCTTCCGGGTGTATATTTATTCCACTGTTTCACACCATTTGTCAATTTCTAAGCAGTTAATAATTTTATGCCTCTTTCAGATGTGTGTATATAGTGCAAGTGTGTTTGATTTCCTGCGGTCTCTGTACATTTAAACAGTGCTGAGTGATGGCATGTGTGACATGCCCATTTAAAACTCCAAACCCAAACTGAAGCCTTCAGTTCTTTAGCAAAACCCGTGGACGGCCTTGCGTTGCACAGGCTGCCTGCCTCTGCCCTGTGGCAGCGGCTTCTGTCCAGGCTCCCAGCGGGGCCGTTGGCCTCCCGGGGAGGTGCCCCTGCGTTTGCAGCACCGGGAGCCCGGTGGCGTTGCCACAGGGGAGCTGTGCGGTTTGGGGCGGTTTCAGAGACTAAAGATGTCCCTTCTGAATGGCGAGTCGGGATCGTTTGGTGAAAGGTGGCCTGGGAGAGTGGCGTCCGGCATGTGGCCAGTTTGGACTGGAAGTAGTAGTGACAAGGAACTCCCCAAAGGGACGTGAAAGCCATGTGTCCCTGTGGCTGCGGGGAGCCGAGTGGCAGAGGCGCTGCAGGCCTGTGGCCGCGGCTTCTCCCGCGGGCGCCCTGTGACTGCGGAGCCTGCAGGGTGGGCGGTCGGCCGGACCCCTGAGCCCTGCAGTGCAGGGCAGCCACGCTGGTGGAGCTGAGCCGCTGATTGGAAGAACTTGCTGCCTGCTTCCGTCGAAAACCACGGGTGCTTCCTTTTTCCACCTCGGCGGCTTCGAGCAGTCTCGTCATAAGAGGGGTTTGAAATGTCTGGGGTATCTGTTAGTTCTGTTTCTCTTGTAGGAGAGACAAGTGGGGTGACCTAATATTGAATTGTAAACTTCTTCGGTACACTTTAAAAATTGTGATAAGTACACATAACATAAAATTTACCATTTTAACCATTTTTAAAAAGAATTGATTTGAGCCCAGCCAGTGTGGCCCAGTGGTTGAGCATTGACCTATGAACCAGCAGGTCATGGTTCTATTCCCGGTCAGGGCACATGCCTGGGTTGCGGGCTCAATCTCCAGTAGGGGGTGTGCAGGAGGCAGCCGATCCATGTTTCTCTCTCATGGTTGATGTTTCTCTCTCTCCCATTCCCTTCCTCTCTGAAATCAACAAAAAAAAATTTAAACACTTGAATTGAGAGGGAAAAACATTGATGTGAGAGAGAAACATCGGTCAGCCACCTCCCACCTTCCACCCGTGCCCAGACTGGGGATCGAGCCCTCTGTGATGACACTCCACCCAACCGAGTCTCACACTCCAGGGCCCACTGTCACCATGTTTAAGTGTACAATTCAGTGGCATTAAGTACATTCACACTGTTGTGCAACCATCACCATCATCCATTTCCGCAGCCTTTCATCTTGCAAAACTGAAACTGCCCATTACCCATGAGCCCCTCCGCCTCCCAGCCCCTCACCCGCCCTTCCACTTCCTTTCTGTGTGAGCTCGACTTCTTCACTTTCCTCGTAGAAGCGAAACCCTATTTGTCCTTTGACCCGGCTTATCCCAGCACCGTGTCCTGGGTGCGCCATGTGGTGGCAGGTGCCAGCATGGCCTTCCTTTCTAAGCTGCAGAGCAGCCCCGGTGTGGGTGTCCGCGTCTTCCACAGGCTTGGTGCATAACCTAGTCCCTCCAGGAGCTCTTCTGTCAGAATCACCCGACTTCACACCCCCACCCCCCAGGGTCAAAGCCCACTCCCAGGCAGAAGTCTAAAAGTAGAAGCAGAAGAGAAAGGGGGGGGTTGGAATAAAGAGTAGGGTCTATGGGGGGCCCACCTGGCTTCTAGGGTGCCATGCACACCTGACCACCTCTCCTCCGTCTTCCTGCTGCGTCCCCAGCGGAGCAGACCAGCTCTGCTTTCGCCCACGCTGTCTGTGAGTGGGGTGGGTGCTGCCTCTCACAGGCTTGGGGTGGGGGTAAAGGTTGCAGTAACGATGAGCACTCCTGTCCTCCCAGTTGTGGGCAGATCTGTCCTTGGCCGCTGGCTGCGGAGGGGCCTGGGGGCCAGGAGGGGTGAGCTGGTGAAGAAACGCTTCAGTTCCGACTGTTCAGAACGGCCAGGGCCTGGGTCTGGGGGCGACCTGCTGACTCTGGCCCCCGTGATTGACTTCCCGCCTCCCACGGTGCCCCGTCCGCTTGGATCGGGGAAAGGCCCACGTCTCCGGTTGCATCCAATCCGACCCCACAGAAGCCCCCTGGCAGTGCCCCTGCCTCTCCCTCCAGGCGCTCTGTACCCGGGGGCAGTTTTGGGAGAGCAGGACTATCTGCTGGGAAGGCAGGCGCGTTCACCCTGTGCTGTGCTCTCTTGTGCAGGGGATTCGGAGGCGCCTGACCCCAACGACCCTTCCGGCCAACTGGATGGACACGGCAGCCCTGTTCCAACGCCGAAAGGTAACCTGGGGAGTGCTCCTGTATGCAGGCCTGGGGCGGTGCTTCCAGAGCGGTGCCGTCTTTACCCAAGGCTCGCCGCCGCACTGATGGCCGGGGGCCCCGGGGGTGGCACTGCCCATGGGGGGCGTGGTGGCACGCCTACCTCCATAGCTTTCTCCATACACTGCACTGTGGGGAGGTGGGGGCTGGTGAGAGGTGACGGCAGGGTTAGGCGGTGACCACTGCAGGGAGGGTCGTAGGGCAGGTGGACTCCTGGCTTGGCCACTGTGTCTCCTGCTGACAGGTGGCCGTCCATCTCCTAGGGTTACTCTCGATGTGACTGTCCAGAGTGGAGGGGGTCTCCGCCGGGCACTGCTCTTCTCCCCAGGGTCAGCCGGGGCCTGGTCTCCCCGGGGTCAGCCGGGGCCAGAGCTGGAGCCGTGCTTTGTCTTGTTGGTCCTTTGTCTTGTGGATGCTGCCTTCCCTGAGGCGTTGGCCTCCCTCTCACCTGGCGCCCTCTGTAGGCATCTGAGACTTACAGAGTCGGCAGAACGTACTTCCTGCGACTTTTCTTCTTCACCCACAGTCACCATATCACCTCAGATCACAGCCTCCGTCGGCTCGGCTGCCATAACCAAACCCCACACGCACGTGGCTCAGCCAAGGGGAAGGGTCCTCACGGTTCTGGAGGCTGAAAGTCCTGCAGAGGGCGCCGTGTCCCTCTTCCTATGCGGACACGAGGCCCACGGGCCCCCCCTCAGGACCTCACCTAATGTAGCCACTCCCCAAAGGCCCACCTCCAACATTTGAATTTGGGGACACGTGTAGTTTATAACAGTTACTATCAGAACAGCCACTTTGTCTGCCTGACCGTGTGGTTTGAAGCCCAGAATCCATCATGGCTTCAGAGCCCCCTTCACTGAGGGTCGGTGCCCTTAGGGCCTGTGCCTGTGGCTGGTCGTCTGGGGAGTGAGCAGAGGAGCTGTCTCAGCCAAGGGGTCCGGAGGGTGCCTCTGCTACCAGGGCTGCGGGTGTCGGTCACCGGGATGCTGCGCTCCCTTCTCCCCGGGGTGCCTGCGGCGAGCACCCTGTTTGCTTAGAGGTCAGTTGTTTAAGTGGAGGGTGGCTCAGGCTCCGTGATGAGGTTCCCTGTCATGCAGCGAGTGTCCTCAGGACGGGAGTGGCCCCCTCCCTGACCCCTCCCAGTCGTCTCGGGGTCATCGTGACCTCGCTCGCTCGCTCGCAGGCAGCCTGGCTGCCTGTGGGAGGCGTCTGTCAGGGCAGAGACGTGTCCCCACGGAGCCGAGGCCGTGCTTGGGAGCCTGTGTGGGGCGCTGGCCTAGGGAAGGGCTCTTAGGAAGAGAGGTTATTCTTGGAGCTTGGGTTCTGGAGCTGTTTCTCAGAGGCTGACGAAGCCGCAGGCCAGGTCAGACAGCCCTCGCCCGTCTGCTGACCGCCCCGTCTGTGCTGGGCCCTGCGCGGCCCAGCTTCTCGTGGTGGAGGCACGGGTGGGCTCTGCCTGGGGGCGGGGCTGGGAGCTGGCGTCCTGGGAAACTGTCAAGCCTGCAATTAAGGGTTGTGGGGAGGAGCCCAAGGAAGGGATGAGGTCGCTGAGTGGAAGGAAAGGGGGCACAGCTTGGCGTGGGGACAGGAGGTTGACTGAGGTGGCCTTTGCTAAGAGATGATGGGAGGGGTGTGTCCAAGGCCAGTGCTGGGCCCTGCCAGGCCCGAGGCCACGAGGACTCAGTGCCCTGGGCAGCTGAGTGAGGTGGGGTCATGGGCTGGGTGGGCTGAGGCCAGGGGCCCAGCACGGCCCACCAGCCACGCACGCAAGTTAAATGAGGGGAAGAACCCAGGTCCTCGGTCCGACCTGCTACATTTTAAGAGCCCAGTGGCCCCGCGTGGCTGAGGTGATGGTGATGGCAGCCCAGACCCGGAACATTCCATCGTCACAGGGAGGTCTGCAGGCAGCTTTGGGAGAGCGAGCGCACACAGCTCCTCAGACGCAGGAGAGAGTTCCGCCCCGCTATAGCCTCCCGCCCCCCCCCCCGTGCCCC